TTAGCTCAGGCATATTTACAACAATGTCAAGATGCTTATGAAGAATATACAAAAACCAAAAAAGAACTTGATGAGTTATTAGAATATATTTTTTCTGGTATTACACAATCTTATCTCGAGGAAGATATAACGGAACAAAATCTAAAAAAGGAAGAAGAACATTTATCTAACCTACAGAATAATCACCGTGTTTTAACTCGCGTCATTTACTTCCTGGAAAAAGCGCATCAAGCCATCAGCGTCTCTTGTCTGGCACTCGACGAAGCGCTGAACATGAATACCTTCGACTTATGTTCTGATAGTTCATTTGCCGACATGGCAGCAGGTTCCTATTTGGCTCAAGCTAGAAATGCCTCAGCAGAAGCACAACAATTCATAAATGAAGCCCGACATATTTATCCAAATATGCCAAATATTGATGATCTATACATAAAACAGGACAATCTTGTTTTTAATATCCTGCTTGATGAAGTTATGAGCGATACGAATATGAAACGAATGATTCAAGAATCATTAGATTGTATCTCTAAAGCGGATGCAGCTGTAATGTGTGTCTTATTCGAAATCAAGGAAAAGTTGAACGAATGTGAAGCTGATCGAGAGATGACAAGCAGAAATGTAAAACGACTAGCGGCTGAACATTTTAGAGCTCGAATCGCAATTGCACGACAAATTATATAACTATTACTTCCATATCCACGCATGTGACATAATGAAATGACTAAGATTATGACTACTGTTTTATCGTTTGATTCTCATATATTTGTGATATAGAATTAAACTTCGCGTCAATTTATATAGTTTATTTATTTTTCTTTTGGAACTAGATCACTGATTCGATTTGTACGTTGTTAATTTACCTTTGTTCAACTCTAGCTTAAACTATGATATGACTATGAGTTTTAGCATACTTGTCATATAAAAAATAGCTTTCGCAATATAACAAACGAAAGCTTATCTTTTTTCAAACTTGTTGTGAACCAAAACAAACTTGTCAGGACAATTTTTAGCTGTGTTAAAATGTGAAACCTACGTTCTTAGAAGTACTGAGCAAATTTTACAATGATAAAAATCTCCTAGAAAGAGTGTGGGTGCGACAAGGTGGATCTGAAAAGCTTCAGCCAAAAAAAGCAACTCATAAGGGTGGGTGTGTGTGAAGAAAAGACTGACATCCATACTCATACCTGTAGTCACACTCGGTCGAACAGTGATTTGACATTTGAATATGTTTTCCTGTGAGCGTTCTGGATCTTTTTCTCTTCTTAGTCACATGTTCTGAAGCTAGTTTTTTCTTTTTTCTCCTCTCAATTTCTTTGTATCCTCATTGATTCTCGCATTCATTACAATCAGCCTTTTCTGCCTCTTATTTTGTACATTTCAAATAAATTATTCTACAATTCAGTAGATTTTCTGAGGATCCACCAGGACTCGAGGATCTAGATTCCGCTTTGTTCTCTTTGTTTCTTTCGGCTTCGTGCATGAGTACGAAACCTGAAAAGTTTTCGACGTATAGTTTCAATTCTGAAAAACCTTTTTTTTTCAGTGTGTTCAAAAATGCAAACTGTATTCAGAAGAATAGATGTTTTGCGAAAGTTAGAAAAGTTTCTTCCGTAGTGAGATATGAAGAACTTTTATTGACTTTGCATACAAAAGCTTTCGTACGAAGACTTTCCTACTAATCGTCAGATCAGTCTTATTAGACGAGGTGATTTCCCAATCAAGTATTGCTCTTGTGGATGTAGATGTTAGTGTAAGTATTAATATGCTCTTAACACATCGCTCTACATCTAAATTCACTCGGAATATTCGAAGTCACTGCTAACTTAATTTATATAAAGTTACTTATCAAACACTAACTGTTATTCACTAGCATACTTCTCTTATCTATTGTTTCTATAGTAATATTAAGAAACCTTTTTCACTGCTATGTATCGAATCTTAACAAAATTAGTTTGCTCTTGCTCCTAATGATAATTATTTCATCTTTACTTTTTCTTTTTTGCTCTCTTTCAATTATTTTTTGGAGCATTTTACTAGATTGAAGCAATCTATTAAATGAAACAAAGCTTCTACATGGTCGACAGAGTTTATCAATGGAACAATTACTTTGAGACTGCTCTATTAAATATTCACAAAGAATTATTTTTCTTTTATGTTTTCTAGGAGAAGCGAAAAACAAAAGACAAGCTCATAGCCCTAGTCAAAGTGCTCAGAGGATAGTACTCATGGGTTTTGAGTACTAGCCGTGTAATATTGAGTGCTTTGGTAGTACTACTATCTAATTTTGTGTACTCCGCTGGTCTAGACAAATACTCATAAGCGTATTTTTTGGTTAGTACCGTTGTACTACATTAATTTTTATTTAATATCAAATTTATAACAAAAAACACAGGCACACGCAAATAGAAGTTTGAGAAAAATAATCAAAATAAGCAATACAAGTATGACATCATTTTCATACATTTTAACACAAAGAATAGGGACATAGAAATTTTCATCATTAGCAAAGAAAGTTAAATATTTTCTGTATTTTGATACAATAAAAACACGATTTTATATGCTTTTTTTTTATCAAAAATCAATAAAACCGTATTTTCGTTATACAGAAAGAAAAAGAAAATATCCAACAATCTTCTCTAATAATGAAGATTTCTTTGTGTAGATCGTCAAGAATGCGAGTACAATAAAACATGAATTGAGAACAGTAAAAAAAACAATCAAACAGAAAAAATAATAAATTATTTAGTGACAATAAAAAATGGGATAGAAAATAAACGTATATTATGGCTTAACATGCTAAACATTAAACACACACATACATTCTTAAATTGATAACCGTTCACCAAAAAATAAAAAATAAATCAATAAAAACCAAAAAAACTTTTTGTCTGTAGTGTATTGATGCATCTTCTTATTTAAAAATTGCGATCGATTTAGAAAATAAAACTAAAGAAAATCTACATTAATATATTTCAAAAGAATTTAACCTTATCCGAGAAGCTAACAAATGAAAAGAAAAGATCGTTTTCTTTTCTTTCTCGAAGTCAAAATGAATCATCAAAAAAGAAGAGAGGATCGAGTAGATATAGCATTAAATAATTTTCTTCTATTTTAAATTTTATTGCATCACTTTCTTTTATTATATAATTTCAATTTCCATTTATATATACTAGTACATAAATGTTTTGCTAAATATTCTGGAAAAAATGATTATAAGTACTACATTGAGTACTCATCTATCAGACTATAAGTAAATCTTTAAAGAAAAACATGTACAAGTATATGTATACATGAAATTTCCTGAGTACTCAAGTGAGTAATATGAGCCGTCACGCAGGAAAGTCGTACTCGCTTGATGAGTATTTTCATTCGGGAACTTTTTTCAAAAAAAGAAAAACTTTAAAACAATTAGGGATATGCTGAATAGATGAACAGAAATTGATGAATTCGACAATCGAATCTAGAGTTGTGTAGATTGATAAAAGTGAATAACGTTATGTAAGCCTAGTTGACTTTTTTTTGTAAGAAAAGCTTAAGTGAATTCATGATATTACTTTTTTATGGAGAAGAATAATGCTTATTCATTTCTCTTTTTTTTGTTTTGAAGAACAAACAATAATTTTGAAATGATGACTTTTTGTATAATGACTCGTAGCATCACTTTGAAGAGTAAAAAATGTCTTTCTCATTCAAAAAAAAAAATTTAGGAAATTCATTTCATTTAAAAGCATCTACTAGATCTTTGGTAAACACTGTTCATCAGTAATGAACGTATTGTACTGCTTGAGTGCAATGATTTTCATCTTCTGCCACCTTTCAGAGAGCAGGTATTCGTTATCCACTGATAATTTCAGTAGAATTCTCGGAACGATCACTTCTTTGCTAGTTACTTATGTATACTATAAGAAAAATTTTCCTCTTGGTTTACGTTTGTCGAGGAATGACAATTCCAATATGAACTGGTCTTGTTTTTGGAGTTCTTTAAGATCTAAGCACTTGTTCTTTTCTTTGTTTCAGTATCTCATAGATAACATATAATATCAATATATATCAGTGTTCCTAGAACTGTTCTATGGGAGATTTAGGTACGATAAACATCTCGATTTCAACGAGACAAAAAGAACCGAGCAATCGGTGTATTCAAAGTAGACAGAAAATAGTATATTTGTGGTAACTAGTAATATTGAATATAGAGTCATATCTGTATCATGTATTTGGTAGAAATTGAGCACAATCGATTCCCATCCTGTTCAAATGATTGTTTCAATTTAGTCTTTCGTCCTAAATGGAACATGTCGAATGAGATGTATTCTATTCAAAGATATAATTATGAATGTATGGACAAGTAAAATGATTATATTTGGTTCTGAAAGAACTCATTGCATGCTTTCTCTTTCGAATAAACATAATTAGTCAAACTCACCATCATCCTAAAGAATTTATTGTGTCTACTAAGTAAAATAAGTTCAGTCTTAATACTCAATGGAAATTATGACTTTCTTAGATAGTTTATAGACTGTCATCCTTATCAGAATTCACACTCAGATCAGTACCATTTCATAATATATGGTTACGACATCTCTACAATCGATTCATTATGATGTTTTAGATTTTATGCTAGCACCTATAGGAAGCTAGAAAATAACTAAATAATATTCAACAAATTGATCATTTTTTTGCATTGATACTGATTTCTATATCAATATACAGCAACGGATACATCTTTTAATTCACAATATTTTTCTTTTTATATAATTCTTACATATTGTCATTTATTTGTCAAAAAGAAAGAATCTGATATATAAATAAGTGAGGTAAATATTCATAAAACTACATATTTAATTCGCGATAGAAAATTTTACATTTACACTCATGAAGAACGAAGGATGCATGTGAGTTCGAGTATCATATTCATTCGTCACCCATCTCTCTCTACCGATATCCAACACACTACAGATCTAATATATAAAATAAACTGTCAGTATTTTTAATATTATTGATCAATCTATATTTTGATTAAATGTTTGAGACAATGGAGTAATAAATGTTTTTCTTCTATAAAATAATCGAAATAGAATATGAATAATAAATGGAATAATAAGTGTTAATGTAATAGTCAATCCACTATATAAACTTAGAATAGTTGTTATAATATAAAATATATTAAAATATTGTATATAAGAATAAGTACAAAATGTTGGATAACATTGTTGAAAATATTTTTCATAAGAATAATCAATATACCATTGATCAACGAATAATCGATCAACCATATGTTCAACTTTTTCATCAATACCATATTGATTTATAGATGAAAGTATATTAAATGTAATGTTATCAGATTGTACTTTAAAATATAATAAAATTAATTCTAAACATGTTTGATTATATAAACATTGAAGTGATGATTGTAACATTGATTCAAATGGATAACAACCAATAACTAAACCATCTATGATTGAATTATTAAGTATAACTTTTTCAGAACATTTTGATGATGTTCCACAATTACATGAATTATTATATGTAAGAGGATTTGTATAAAATGGAGAGAATCGTTTTCTTTCTAAAACAGTAAATTTCCAATTTGTTTGAAAAATTGTCATATAAAAATTTCCATGAATAACTTCATGAATCATATCTAATGTTCTTTTAAAAGTTTGTGATATTGATCTTTGAAATATTTTAAGAATTGAATTAATTTGTTTTTGAAATGTTTCATTTAAATTTAATTGACCACTAATAAATTTTGTTGAATAAAATTGTGTTAAACTAATATTAATAGTTTCTTGTGTTAATTTACATAAAGATGCAAGAACTTGAAATTGAATTGATGCTGTTGCAAGAAAATTTCTATCATTTATTCTTTGCTTATTATATAAATAATCAAACCATTGTTGACTAATAAAATCTGATGTACAAACTTCATGATACGATACTTTAAGTTCAATAAATTCTTTATATTCAATTGAAATTCTATCACATGGACAAGTTAAAGTAGATTTATATTTTATTTCTAATTGTTGATATTGAGTTAAACTTGACAATTGTACATTAATATTTATGGATTTTTTATTTAATGAAGTATATAAAACTAATATAAATAATATAATAATGAAGATAACTAAATATAATCGAGTTGTCCAAATTTGTTTTCGAATTTTTTCATGATTAGTTGAACGATCTTGAAATAAATTTAAGTTCAACAATTTTGTTTTAGTTATTTGAAAGAATAGATATATTCGATTTGATATTGAAATAGCTGAAAATAAAATTAAAAAAAAAAGTAAAACAAATCGAAAATTAAAGCTAGTAGAATTAATTATATATTGAAGAAAATTCAATCTAACGTTATCTATTCATCGAATTCGAATACAAATTATAAAGCTGAAAACCAACGGCAACAGATTTGTCGTTTAGCTTACATCTCTAATTACAACTTGATTAATCATTCTTAAAAAAAGTGTTTCATGTCTCCAGAACGATTATCACATTCAAATACGAACATTTTCCTAAATCAAAGAAATACAGTGGATTCTCAAGCTCAAAAGTGTTGAACTCTATGTACGATAGATTGTCTGCCAAGTTGAACGCAAGATTGCTCAATCTAAAATGTGTTTTAGTTTCGATCTTAACCAAGGCAGACATATGCAGAACTGTAAGCCGATGTGTTGAACTAGTAGAAAAAAACTTATTTTTTCTTAATATTCCTAATTGACAGATTATAATAATTCTAAATTAGATAAGAAGATTCTTTAAAAGGGTGATGTTTGGTGTCGAAAATTTTCTAAAACTAAATGTATTTTACTGTACCAGAGTTGTTCATCGCAACAAAATATCTTCCATTGTCATGATGCGATGAACATATCTAACTATAGAAGACTATATAAACTATTGTACCTTTCTGATCTTTTTATAAGAAAAAATTTATTTGCTGCTGTGAAAATTTTTTTTTATCTTTCTATGATTTGTATCTTTCATCTAATAAGATAAAAGTAAGTGCGTCTGTTTCATGCTTATTTCAAGACAGAGAACTTATTGTAGTTTCGATATCAGTAAATTTTATATCACTTTCAATGTATTCTAAGGTCTGATAAATTCTACTGAAAACTTAAAAATTCATGATTTTTTTTTCTTCTTCTGTTAATTTTCATATTCCTAAAGATTGCAAATATTCTTTATAAAAATGAATACCTGATTGTTGATTTTTTTGTCGTCTAATTAAATTAACAATATTTTGAACTAAAAAACGTATAACAATTGTTAATCCAGCATATACACTAAGTAATCTTGTTAATATATATATATAATTAGGTTTTACTTGAATAGTATACGAACAAAATAATGGTTTACATTGTTTATAATAATTATCATAAGAATAAAATTCATTCCAATTTTCAATAAAAAGATTATCAACAATTATTTCAATTGTTTCATTTCTTTTATATTGACTTATTTCAGAAATATTTAATATATTTAATTGTTGATATAATTCTGTAGACTGTATAACATACGATTTAATTATATTTATACATGTTTCATCAAAGAAACATTCTGTAGTTGATCTTAATAATGAATCTACCATATAACAACCGATATACATACCTATGATATAGTCTAATTTACCATCGTTACAAAATGCAATATTTTCATGACACATTGAATTAGTTCCACATGTACAATTATTATGTTCTACTATATTTGAATACATTTCAGTAGTATTTCCGATAAATTGTGCATGAAAAATAACATTTGTTCGTCTTACAGTTGCTAATTGATTATTAAAAATAACACTTTGTATTAAATTCCATTGTCCTCTAAATGAACTTTGTGTTCTTATTTTAAATAATTCAATAATTGATATCACTTCATTATTAAATTGATTTTCTAAAACAACATCTGATGTAATATATTCTAATGCATAAAATTGAATTAGACTATTTAATATTGTTTTATTTGCTGATTGACAAAATGTAGACAAGAGAGAAAAATAATAAAATGCTAAATTTGCAAATGATGGAAAAATACAAGGTTCAGAAATATTCCAAATTTCATAACCATTGTACCATAAATTCGTAACAAATACACTTGAACATAATTGATGATATGTAGCATCAAAATTAATAAATTCTGAATATTTAATAGCAACTTTACTACATGGACATTGAAGATCATTAACTGACTGATTTTTTAATTGTTCAAATTGAATTCGTATTGGATTATAAATAAACATTGTTTTTGATAATTTTTCTGATGATATATAAATACAAAAAACAATCAACGATATTGTTAGAATAAGAAAATAAAGTCTTGTTGATATCCTTCCATTTCTTTGTTTATGTTCGTTCGATGTATGACTATTGTATATGTTCAATGTAACAATTGATGTTATGATGAAACGGTATAGCTTATACAAGCGATTCCTTTTCGATACTAAAAAAATAAATATTCATTAAAAAATATATTGACCTTTTTTTTTTTCAGATTTCTCGAAGCAGAAATTTACGGATGATTTTGTGACTCCTAAGAACAAAATTTGAAACTGATAGTTCTAGTACTAATACGACACAATTGAGAATAAATGAATATATGTATATGATATGTCTTAAAATTTGAAGTAATAAAATCATTATTACTCACGAGGGAACACATCCAACTGTCCAATCGCTTTTTTAATAAAAA